GACAGCATCTCCACTTCACCATTACTGTCTCCCAGGACAGCACCTCCAGCTTCACCATTACTGCCCTCCCGGGACAGCACCTCCCGCTTCACCACTACTGTCTCCCGGGACAGCACTATCACCCCACATTTACTGACTACCGGGACTTCATCTCCAGCCTTACATTTTCTGACTACATGGCCAGTATAAAGGGGCAGTACCATTCAGCCCAGACTTTTTATGTTCCCATCTGTTGTAAAAAAGCTTCCAGGTTTTCTATGAAAGCAGCTTTGATGTTGTCCTCTTTTAATACCCTTTTGATTTTAGTCCACAGATTTATCTCATTTGGGCATACCCAAAAACACTTCCCTGTTTTAACACTGCTTGTAGCTAGTTCTTGGATATCTGTACAAGGGGCGTGACACCAATTTCCACATTATTATTATTAAAAATCAAGGGGAAGCGCTAAACCCGGAGGGTTATACAGCGCCTGGGGGGGATGTGGAAGGCATTCAGGCTTAATTCGGGGAACTGGAGCACAGATCCAATTCCCTAAATCAAGAGCCCCTCACCAACATCAAGGAACCTTCCTTGAGGGGACCAATTTCCACAAAAATGACAATTTACCCATGTGGAAGCCCGTTTGTTTGACTGACCACAGACTACACACAGCTTCATAATGATTTGAATGGTTGATTTACTGCAATTCTACTAGCAACCTCTTGAATATTCTATTAATAACCTCCTTAAATGAAGCTCTAGCTATTTGTATTTCTGTTTCTAACTGGTTTTTGTATATTGGACAGCTTACCGTGCACGTTCCTGATTTATATTTAATGTTTGTGTTTATAAGGGCGCCTACAACCCCATCCGTTTACAGTCTGCTTTATTGTCCAACGAAACCGTTTGAAACCAGTCAAGGGTTCGGACCAGTCAAGGGTTCGGACCAGTCGATCTGATCTGATCAGTGGGTCACTTTTTTAAAACATACTGGTCGGTGATTGAGCAACACATGAAGGATCTACTGGAAATTATCTACCCAGTAATATGTGATTTGACTGATACAAAAGTATAACTTGCGTGTTGAAGAAACCGGTGACTGCTGGCAACTCCTACAATGACGAACGGTCGACCTCAACCCTTATTTATCAATCGCTGTATCTAGCTTTTCTATTTTTTTTTTCGTCTCCACCACAATAAATGCTATATTATCACTATAGTTGACTGGTGGAAATTTTGGAGGAAGGACGCTTTTTCTGTAGTAATAATTGCTTCTCGTAGTGTATATTGCGACCGCTGGTAACTACAGGTTATGTGAAATTCACAGTATACGTCTGGTATTTCAAGAAAAATGAAACTAATGAAAGTCACTCCACTCCACTAAGTACCATTATAATACTGGTTAGTTGCTACTACAACACTGTATTCTGCTATTCACTGGTATCACTAGATTATATGCGAGTACACTAGCAAGCCAGGAAGATTATTAAAAACAGCTGACCTGTGGTAAGTTTCTGGCGACTTCTGGCACCTGCCTCTATAGGCTTATCACTTCATTTACAAATTCCCCTGTTTTCAAATGACACTTTAGCCTTTATCATCAATATACTAGGGAGCCACTGTAGTATACACTATACACTATGTATACTCAATGTTATCAGGGAGACTTTCTTTCCTCTGACACGAAAAGTTCAATTATTATTATTTTTTTCACACGGGACACAGGCCTGATTCCCCTCTGGCAGTAAACTCTGCTAGGTAGTGCACACTAATTCTCCTTTTTTGACTCAGTATATAATGTTTTCCGCCCAAGATTGGTTCCAGGCGCTAGAGGGATGTATCGTATAGGATTGATGACACAAATTAAAGTTCTAGTACGTAAGAGCGACCGTGAAAACACGAGAAAACCCGGAGCACAACGAGGCACGCTGACACGCTAACTCGCTAACCCGCTAACCCGCAGCTATGAATAACATCGATTGGCAAAATGAGCTCGAAACATATACAGATATGAATGAATGTATTAATAATTTCCTACAAAAAAACCCAAAACCTATATAACAAACATTGCCCCAAAAAACTAAACAGATCACAGCAAAGAGACTGAATAATCCCTGGGTAACACCCAGCATCCTCAGATCCATTAACACAAAGCACAAATATGAAAAACAGTATAGAATGGGTCAAATAACTAGAGAACTGTCTAAACGTTACTCGTCAGCTCTTACCAGCCTAATAAGAAGATCTAAAAAATTGTATTATGAAAATAGATTACATAACATCAAAGGTGATATGAAAAAAACCTGGAAAACTCTATCTGAAATTCTTGGAACTAAAAAGTTATCCAAAAACAAAACAATCAAACTAACAAAATCAGACGAACTCCTACTCACACCTACTGAAACAGCAAACAGACTCAATGTTTTCTTCTCCACCATAGGAAAAAAAATCTAGCGAACAAAATACCAAGCTCAAACACCCGTCCATTAGACTACCTCATAGGTACCTACCCAAATACGCTATTCCTAGCTCTAACCAACCCCATAGAAGCTACGCTCATCATAAACACCCTTAAAAACAAGGCAGGAGACATAAACAAGTTGCCTGCTTTTATGTACAAAAAGCTTCTCAAGTATTATCACCAATTATTGCAACACTCTTTAACAAATCCATTGATTCATCTACTTCCCAACAATTCTCAAAATATAGAGGGTCACTCCGGTCCACAAAGGAGGTGACCAAGCTGACTTGAATAACTGTAGACCAATATCTAACTTGAAAGTTAAGACACATGTGCAACATCTGGATATCTTTATTGTAGTAGACGTTTCGCCATCCAGTGGCTTTATCGATGGGTTAGTTGCAGCAGCCGTGAAGGTCTTGTAGATGTCCTCTGAACCACTGGATGGCGAAACGTCTACTACAATAAAGATATCCAGATGTTGCACATGTGTCTTAACTTTCATATTGTCGGTATTTTATACCTTTCTTGCACAATATCTAACTTACCACTGCTCTCTAAAATCTTTGAAAAATTAATTCATAGACGGATCTATTCCTACCTCGTCTCACACAACGTATTAAACCCTTGTCACTTTGGATTCAGGAATAATAAAAGCACAAATGATGATATCATACACATGCTAGAACTAATATATACCGCACTAGAAAAAAAAGAAGTCCCGCTGGGCATTTGCATTGATTTATGTAAAGCTTTTGATGCAGTCGACCATGAACTGCTGTACTCCAAATTAACGCACTATGGTATCAGAGGCCACTCCCTCGACTACCTAAAGTCATACCTTAGTAACAGAACTCAATATATGTATGCAAATGGTGCAAACTCTTCCACCCAACCAATCACAGTAGGAGTCCCACAGGGGATCACTCCTCTTTCTCATCTACATCAATGATCTACCGAATGCATCACAGCTACTCAGACCCATATTATTTGCAAATGACGCTACAGACGTCTTCTCCCACCCAAACACAGTCATACTAGCAAACACTGTCAATGCCGAATTGCAGAAAATATCTGCCTGGATGATGGCTAATAAACTTACCCTGACTACTGATAAAACCTATTTCATTCAGTTTGGAAACAAAGCTGCAAATGATCCAATTAACATAACGCTAAATGGATCATCAGTCACAAGACTTACAGAGGGAAAATTCCTAGGTATCCACCTTGACAGTAGCCTTAAGTTCCAGACACACATACAACAAATCACCAAGAAAATCTCCAAGACTGTAGGCATACTATCAAAGATAAGGTACTGCGTTCCACAATCAGCTCTCCTGGCACTGTACCATTCACTCATACACCCTTATCTCACCTATGGAATTTGTGCATGGGGATCAACATTCAGTCACCTAAGATCTCTAGTAACCCAGCAAAAGGCAGCAGTCAGAATAACAAATTCCCACTCCTGCCAGCATACTCCACCAATTTTCAAAAGTCTGAATCTGCTTACCATTAAGAACATCCATACTTATTCATGTTCCTACTACATACACAGAACAATACACACAAATATAAACCCTCCACTCAAACTTCTCCTCACCAACCTAAACAGGATAAATGACCATAACACAAGACACAGATCTCTTTTTGATATACCTCGTGTCCATATCACACTGTGTAAAAACTCTATGCACATAAAGGGCCCCAAAATATGGAATTCACTTCCAGAAGATACTAAAGTAACCTGGTCTGAAAATCAATTTAAGACTCCTCTCAAAAGCCACTTAATCATCCTAGACTAAATGCTAAATACTCAGTACACACTTATTCACTTATGTACTCCCACATCATAATTTCATCAATTACTTTGAACCTTTTATTCATTGTTGACAGAAATATAATTTAATCATTATTTTCACAAAAAGCATTTCAGAATATATGAATATATGTTTTGTCTTATATAAATTAGATTCACTTATAATTAATAATCTACTGTACAACTACGACATAATTACTATCCTACTGTACAACTATGACATAATTCTTAGTGTTAAGTAGTCTGTAAGTCAATAATGTTAAGTTGGCCCATAATGCCTAGGCATAACAGAGGCTCTCTTTGCATTGCAACCCACTATTGTAAATGCAAAATCTCAATGCACGTACTACTTGCAAAGACATAAATAAATAAATAAATAAATAAAGCAAATATAATTGATTCCCATTTCCCATGCACTATATGATCCCTATGGGTTTAGTGCTTCCCGGAAATAATGTAATCCATTCTACTTAAGTATCAGTCTAGCTCACCAACCTTCCCATCCTTAAACTGGAAGTGACTTTCTCCCATTCCCCAGTTACTGTACTACCTTTTCAACATAATTATAATAGCTTCCCCTTCTCCAGGTTCTTTATTACCCATGTGGGTTGAGCACTTTTCCAGGAATATAATAATCTGTATGACCACTATAGGTTTAATTTTTCTGCATAATTATAATGACAACAAAGATCATGTACATGCAAAGTAATTCTACCATTTTTTTTTTCCTTTTGATGTGACTTGCTTCACTATGTAACGTTGTCACCCCGCAGGTTATGGCTGCCATTAATAGAAATACAGTAAATTAATGCAGGCATTATTTTATTTAACAAATTGCGTCTGAAATATATAGGGAAGCACCTGAATGGATAAAAGACAGTATAAATGCCAATTATATACGGTAACAGCTTATGATAATATGACATTGAAAATAGTTGTTGCAATATTACATCATATTAACAAAATGTAGTCACAGTGTATACCACCAGAAATAGTAAATAGCATCTCATCTGGTATTTGCTTAGGAATAGATCCTTATAGGTTTAGCGCTCAGTTGTGAATATAATAATTATAATTGCTTAAGACTACGATGTATATACAAAATACAGTAGGACCCCCGTATCCATGGGGGATGCGTTCCAAGGTCTTGCTGTGGATACCGAAACACTGGCTAGCAAACCCTATATACATACATAAGTCCTATACTTACCCATTATTAAGTTTGATAAATTATGTACAATAAGCGAGGAATTATCACTTTTTCACTGATGAGTGGGGAATTATCACTTTCACGGCTTCTATACCTGGAGAGGGTTTTGGGGGTCAGTGCCCCCCAGCCACAGTAAACTGCAGATACCGAATCAGTGGATGTGAGGGTTCTACTGTTATTTTTATAACAGCAAATTCACTACAATCTCAGTAATAACACCAATCACTACAAAACACCTAGCCTTCAAGGGAAGGGTGGAGGTTTCTTGATCCAAGGAATTGGGGATATTCATTTCACTGGATCAAACCTGATTCCCTTGTAGGTTAAGCGCTTAGTTGATTGTAATAATCAAACTCGATTACCTACCATTCCCCAGGATCTGTATGGTCCTTTATTAGTATTGTGCATTGCTGTGGAGATAATTACAACAAAACAAACAGGTATCTAAAATTTATCAAACGTGCCAGGCTTGTAGTTTAATGCCTTGTAGGTTTAGCGCTTGTTTTGATTATATTAATTGTAGTTTAATGGTAGTACTGGAAATGCACAACCAAAGTATCCGGATTCAATTTTGGACGGGCAGACATGTAAGGGAAAATCCTACACCTATTGCCTCTGTTCACTCTGTGATATATGACCCTTGGGCAACTAGGATGACAGTTCTTAGTATGAAAATTCAACGATGTTGGAAAAATAACTAGTTTAACCATCCCGTCTATGTAACCGTACATAATACAATGCAGAAACTACAAGTCACTATTTATGGAAGAGCAATGCTCATTCGTAGTATTCCGAGTTGTACAATGTAATACGTTAATCCCTGAAATATCAAGTTTTAAGTACCTAGACAGAACCAGTACCATTGTTACACTTGTCTCAATACCAGTAATATACATTTTTTTTTTTGAGGAACTACCATCACCAGGCTAGTCCCAGCAGACTACATCCAGAACTTGATGAGAACAGTTACGAGGTTTTCTTGTAATACATTAGTTCTGATGCTCTTCGTATTTCCACCAAAGGCTTCTGTGTTTCCTAGAACAAAATTATTCTTCAAAAATTCTTTAGCCATGAAAAATTCTTCACAAGTTTTCGACCATAAGCATATAATGCTCATCTTCATTGTATATTGTTTATGGAGCAATTAGCACTGATCCTTGGAGCATTGATTATTGATCGTTGAAGCATTAATCATTGGTGAATGAAGCATTTTTCATCGATCCTTGGAGGTGAAGGTTGCAACAAGAACATTCTTGACAGTGACCAGGTTCCAGAGTCTAATAGCCAGCATAGCACCTAGAGTGGAGCCTGCCCAGTACACAATGATGTGCTCAGTGTTGGTGTGGCCGTGACAGCTCCACTTCAAGCTTGTTGCCAGCACTGGGTTTAGATACCCACCTGAGTAGTTGAACGCTGCAGAAACAAGTGTTATATTAATGTTTTTTGTTGATACATAGACTGTGTGTGTGTATGTCCCCTCAAGGGAGGTTCCTCGATGCTGGTGAAGGGCTCTTGATCTAGAGAATTGGATGTGTTCCAATTCTCTGAATTAAGCCTGAATGCCTTCCATTTCCCCTCCCACAGGCATTGTATAAACCCTACGGGTTTAGTGCTTCCCCATGATAAAATGTGTGCGCGCGTATTTATGGTAAACTTATTTAAATTTGAAACACTAGTTATAACAGAAGAAAGTATGATAAAATTTAGTTTTGTTTTTTTTTATTCGCCGGTATTCTCCCGGCCCGGGTCTTTTCCAAGTAGTGGTGACCCGGCCTTGGCTCCCTATCTGGGGAGTGTCTCGAGACTTAAGTCTCCCATGGGAGGAGGTACAAGTACCCCCTCATCTTTGGGACCAACTGTCCCCAGGCCTAGCCACATTCCCCGCCCTCACGGGGCTCGTAGGGAGAAGCTAGGCCTCTGATCTGCCATCTGCCCCGCCCTAAAAGGGCTCGTGGGGATGGCAGTCTTATGAGCTGCAGATGGTAGCAAGCTCAGGCTGTTATATATAGTTGATACAAATTTGACTTGTGTGATAATCCATGTCTACAAATAATTATGGGTTTAGCAATTTATGTTAATATAATAAAATAATAATTATTATTATTATTATTATTATTATTATTATTATTATTATTATTATTATTATTATTTGATGAGCTTGCAAAAACAAAAGATAATGCTTATTTAATAGATTAAATTATTTTTTGCCGATTTGGAAGACCCATCCAGTATGGAATTTCTAGACGAGCAAGAGGCCTGAGCTTGCTATCACCTGCAGCTCATAAGACTTCCATCCCCACGAGCCCCTTTGAGGCGGGGTAGATGGCAGACCAGAGGCCTAGCTTCTCCCTACGAGCCCCGTGAGGGCGGGGGATGTGGCTAGGCCTGGGGACAGTTGGTCCCAAAGATGAGGGGGTAGTTGTACCTCCCCCCATGGGAGACTTAGATCTCGGGATACTCCTCAGATAGGGAGCCAAGGCCGGGTCACCACTACTTGGAAAAGACCCGGGCCGGGAGAATACCGGCGAATAAGAAAAAAAAAATAAACGAGCAATAAACTGACATGGAATCAGCAAAAACATAATTTATGTCAAGGAAAAAATATATTAAACTGAAATACATACAATGTTCTAGACAACTTATTTACGAACTTTTAATAGGTTTTCCTTGATTCTAGTGAAGGTCTCTTGTTCAAAGGTGTGTCTGCGCGCGCGCTCGTGTGGATGTATGACCCACTTAATATTTGTATTTATAACTCATTACAATTGTGACCAGGTGTGGACGTATCAGTGGTCAGTGGTTCATTACGTACTTTGTAATTTGTTCATGACTGTAACCATGTATAGGAGTGAGGCTGATTCATTACCTCTGTAACTTGCCATGATTGTGACCAGATCTACCTGGAGTTCATTACCTTTGTAACTAGTTCAGCTATCAGAACTTTGGGGTCCAGTCCCTGGACCCATTATGTACCTCTGAAATCTTTTGACTACCGCCCACACCATGGGTATGATGGGGTGCATAATAAAGATAATAAACTAACTTCAAAGGAACTGGAACTAATCCTCCCCTGAAATTTTTTTTTACACCTTCCTTGGATTAAACCTCGTTACATCTTATTCTCCAAGTGTTGTACGGACTGTAGATCAGTGTTCAAAATGAAAACAAAAATAATACTCACCCACGAGGACCATACAGGTGGCGAAGAAGGAATTCATAGCGGCAGCAAACTTGGGCTTGACCTCACCCAGTGCTCGTGAGACAAGACGAGACGAGCAGGTCAACAGACTCTCCAGCAGGAAGCCAAAAATGACTGGGACCTGAAGGTCAGCTCTGCAGTTTTCCACTTTATGACTACTAGCATGTGTGTCTGTTAACTCCGCCAACCAGATGTATCTCACCCACCTGTAATATATGTGTACTAACAGTTGAGACTCGACCACCACAACTAGGTGAACACCGCTATTCACATTGAGCTAGAGAAAAAAAAATGTTTGAACTGGTAAGTTACGACATGTTGTATCTATCTGGGTGTGAATTGTATGAATACCCTCGAAGCACTTATTTTAGTCGCTCCAGCATGTACTCGTCTAATGTGAAGGTACTCATGTCGCTGTATTACTCATGCGGATTTAGCATTTTCTTGAGTATAATATTATTATAATAATACTTAAGGTACACGTATTTACCAGTTTTTCATACTAATAATGTATCCCCGAAGGGGTACCTTTAAAAGGTGCCTATTATTTTTCCCTTTTCTTTCTCCAGTTGCGCTGTATAACCCTTCTAGGTTTCGCGCTTCTTTTTTATTATAATAGTTTTCTCCAACTTTTAGATTTTTGCTCATAACTACAGAACGCCTCATCCAGTCGGCTTCAAATTTTCGACTCTTCTTTACGATAACCCTAGGTAGTAGGATGGTAGACAGCAACCACCCAGGGAGGTACTACCGTCCTGCAAAGTGAGTGTAAAACGGAAACCTGTAATTGTTTTACATAATGGTAGGATTGCTGGTGTTTTTTTTCTCTCATAAACATGCAAGATTTCAGGTATGTCTTGCTACTTCTACTTACACTTAGGTCACTCTGCACATGAAAAGACAAGCATATATAAACACACCCCTTTGAGTTTTCCTATATTTCCTTACTAGTTCTTGTTCTTGTTTCCTCTTATCTCCATGGGGACGTGAATTCTTTCTCCGTAAGCCATGCGTGTCATAAGAGGTGACTAAAATGCTGAGAACAAGGGGATAGTAACCCCCCTCTCCTGTTTATGTTACTAAATTTAAAAGGAGAAACTATCGTTTTTCCTTTTGGGCCACCCTGCCTCGGTGGGATACGGCCGGTTTGTTGAAAGAAGTGTGCGATAACGAAGACCAAATTCTTGGAACAATCGGCATGTCACATACCCTAATTCCAAAGTTGTTGAACCCATTCCCAGCATCCTGGGCACTGTTGTGCCCCAGGCACAACAGTGCCCACAGCCAGAAGCATGAATATTATAGCATTAGAAAAATCCCACAAGTATTGATATTGTAATAGCCTAAACGAAATTAACGTGACAATAATAAAAAATTCGGTCATATTCTTCTATGATTTCAATAACTTTACATACATAAATATATTGTCAGTGATCTAGAAGTCACTGGCAGTTATGGGGTAGCTCCCTATGGGACAACGTGTCCATTTAAACTGATGAGAAAACAGAAACATTTAAAAGGAAGACTTCTAAAAGTTATGTAAACGAAATGGGGCTCATTAAAATAAAATAATTTACTGAGGGAGGCATCTGTAATAACAAGAAAGACGGCCACAGTTATTCAACCCACATAATTCTGAGGCAAGCTCTGGTTCAACCTTCAGAAACTGCAGGAAAAATAGGCCCTAATTCCTCGGTGTGGCACTACATTTAAGATAGTCTAATGCATTCATATAAGAGCCCAATTTTAGACTGTGTACTATTGCCTCAACTAAATACGCATCTAATTCTAATTTGAACAACCCGTCACTGATATTATATAATGAATGCATGTCATGCTTAATAACTGCCGATTCTGCAATATCCCTTTCAAACCAAGAGAACCAAGGGAAGATGACTCTTGCTTCCCGCCAGTTTGCCGGGTTATTACAAACTCTGAATGGATATGTATAGCATAGGAGTCAAACGCGATTTTGGACCATATTAGAGCTTGCAATAACCCAGCAAATTGGCGGGAAGCAAGAGCTAACTAACAATTTTAACTATGATATTCATTGCTTCTCTGGTCTCGGAAGCATTTTGGTTGTTTACCAGTGTGTTTTATGTACAAGTGAATTGCGATATTAATGGCCCACAAGCAGTCGCTAGCCCTTAAACATAACACATACTGGTTTAGCGTTTGTTTATGAATCTGAAAATAATAACGTACTTACCTGATAGAGGTGAGGCCGCCTGTGAGCTGTGCCACAACCTTTAGTACTACGTGAAGGGGATTAGCACCAACTTCCACGTACTCCTCCAGGAGACTGTAGGGACAAGCAGTAACAGTCTTGCCCCAGCTCCTCCCCCGACAGAGTATGATCAGGAACAGGTAGACACTATATGCCAGCATTCCACAGCTTGTTGCCACTAGGAGAGAAAATTAAACTATGTATAGTTTAAAGTTTTCGTCTAAGGTTTCTAATCCATAATTTCTTAATCGTGTGATCCGCATATCCACTGAGTTACACCCCTCCCTTTTGGCCAGCCACTAACCCCTTATCTCTCCTGAGTTACACCCACCTTGCCCAGCCATTTGTTATATTCATGGAGTAATGCTAGTCTCGTAAAGGCCATACAACGCCTGGGAAATGGAAGATAATCGGGTTTGATTGGAAAAAAGGAAAAAGTAGCTCCAATTCCTCTGATCAAGAGCTCTTCATGAGCGTCAAGACTGCTCACCATGACGGGACTTACCCTGAGAGAGCTGAACCGAGGTGCCACACATCTCTGCTGCTGCGACCAGCTCCAGCAAGCAGCCCCTCACCAGGGTGCTCTTCACCAGCTGACTGAGGCGACCTCTTACGACGTACGACGCAGCCATCAACGTCACGATCGTCGCAGAGGAGAACACAATTGACACGTCCTGCGGCAGAAAATGTTACTTCAAGAAGCATGTTACTAGGAAAGAATTAAAGAAAATTTTAAATTAGTTTTAAAGAATTTTTTTGAAGATTTGTTTTTAGAGAAAGTTTTTAAGAAAAAAAAATATAAAAAAAATTATTTTTTTAAGAAGTTTTTAAAAAAATAAAAAAAATTAAAGATTTTTTAAGAAGTTTTTAATGAAACATTTTTAAAAAATGAAAAGAAAAAATAAAGAATAAAATTAATTTTTAAAGAATTATTTTCTTTAAAAAGGTTTTTTAAAGATTTTTTAATTTACATATTTTTTTTTTATTTTTTTAACACAAAACACAAATTCCAAAGAAAAAAAATCCCTTAAAAAATTTAAAGAATCTTTCAAAAGAATATTGAAAAAAATATTTTCTTTAAAAAAAGTTCTCTAAACAAAATTTTCTTTATTTTTTATTATTTTTAATTTACACACACACACACACACACACACACACACACACACACACACAACACACATGCATACAGAAGAACAAGGAGAGTAGCAGAAGAGCAAGAAATGAAAATGCACAGGTAAGGAGGGAGGCCCAGCGACAATATGAAAGTGACATAGCAGCGAAAATCAAGTCCGACCCGAAGCTGTTGTACAGTCACATCAGGAGGAAAACAACAATCAAGGACCAGGTAATCAGACTGAGAAAGGAAGGGGGGAGGAGAATTTACATGAAACGATCTTGAAGTATGTGAGGAGGTCAACATGAGATTCAAAGAAGTATTCACAGTGGAGACAGACAGGACTCCGGAAAGACGGAGAGGTGGGATACACCAACAAATGCTGAACAAGATACATACAACCGAAGAGGTGAAGAGGCTGCTAAGCGAACTAGATAACTCAAAGGCAATGGGGTGGATAACATCTCTCCATGGGTCCTGAGAGAGAGAGCAGAAGCGCTCTCTCTCACTAACAACAATTTTCAACACATCTATCGAAACAGGGCGACTACCCGAGGTATGGAAGACAGCAAATATAGTCCCAGTTTTTAAAAAGGGAGACAGACACGCAATATCAAACTACAGACCAGTGTCACTGACATGTATTGTATGCAAAGTCATGGAGAAGATTATCAGGAGAAGAGTGGTAGACCACCTAGACAGGAATGAGCTTATAAATGACAACCAGCACGGATTCAGAGATGGGAAATCCTGTGTCATGAACCTACTAGATTTCTATGACAAGGTGACAGCAGTAAGACAAGAGAGAGAGAGAGAGGGCTGGGTAGATTGCTTGTCTTGGACTGCAAGAAAGCTTTTGCTACAGTTCCACACAAGAGATTCGTGCAGAAGCTGGAGGACCAGGCAGGTATGACAGGGAAGGTACTGCAGTGGATCAGAGAATACTTGACAGGAAGGCATCAGCGAGTCATGATACGTGATGAGGTAGGGTGGGAGCCTGTGACGAGCGGGGTTCCACAGGGGTCAGTCCTGGGACAAAGTGCTGTTTCTGGTATATGTGAATGACATGACGGAAGGCATAGATTCAGAAGTGTCCCTGTTTGCAGACGATATGAAGTTAATGGGGAGAATTCAGTAGGAGGAGGAGGACAAGGCAGAACTACAGAGGGACCTGGACAGGCTGCAAGCCTGATCCAGCAACTGGCTCCTGGAGTTCAACCCCACCAAGTGCAAAGTCATGAAAATCGGGGAAGGACAAAGAAGACCGCAGACAGAGTACAGTCTAGGGAGCCAAACACTACAAATCTCACCGAGCACATCTGATGCGCACATCAACTAAATAACTGCTGCAGCATATGGGCGACTAGCGAACCTAAGAGTAGCATTTTGGCATCTCAGTAAGAAGTCGTTCCAGACCCTGTACATCGTGTACGTTAGGCCAATATCGGAGTATGCAGCTACAATTTGGAACTCACACGTGGTCAAGCACGTCAGGAAACTAGAGAATGTGTAAAGGTTTGCAACGAGACTAGTCCCGGAGCTAAGGGATATGTCCTACAAGGAGGGATTAAGGGAACTCGACCTGACGACACTGGAGGACAGGGGGACATGATAATGACATACAAAATGCTGAGAGGAATCGACAAGGTGGACGAAGACAGGATGTTTCAGAGATAGGACACAGCAACAAGGGGTCGCAGTTGGAAGTTGAAGACTCAGATGAGTCACAGGGATGTTAAGAAGTATTTCTTCAGTCATAGAGTTGTCAGGAAGTGGAATAACCTAGAAAGTGAGGTAGTGGAGGCAGGTACCATACAAAGCTTTAAGAAGAGGTATAATAAAGCTCATAGAGCAGGGAGAGAGAGGACCTAGTAGCGACCAGTGAAGAGGCGAGGGCAGGAGTTATGACTTGACCCCTGCAACATATACATTGGGATGACCTGACTATGGATCAGGTAGGTGGTATGGTTGCCAATATGACGTTTTTCAGAGCATAGTTCTAGCTGCCCAGACAACTTTTGTTCCGAGTAGAGAAATTAGATCTAACAAAAATAATCCCAAATGGATGAGCAATAGATTAAAACATCTCATTGGTCAAAAGAGAGGCATATATAGGCGTATCAAAAGAGGGAATGGCCAGTTAAAAATCAATATATTTAATTAAAGAGAGAAATAAAAAAGGAATAAGAAAAGCGGGATCAAACCCCACCCGTGGTATGGTTTATTATGAGGCTTAGGTCGCAAGAGATTCGAAGACTAACCCAAAAGGATTCTTTCAGGGATAAAGAAGTAAGATTAGGGACAAGATAGGCCCACTTAAGAGTAACTCGGGTCAGATCACTGACAGTGATAAGGATATGTGTGAAATTTTCAGTACTTACTTCCTCTCAATTTTTACCCAGGAAGATACTAGCAAAATTCCAAAAATAATAAATTATGTAGAACAGGAAGATAATAAACTATGCACGACTGGGGTAACTAGTGACATGTTCCTCAGACAAATAGAGAAATTAAAACCAAACAAATCCCCAGGCCCTGATTAATTGTTTGCAAGAGTTTTAAAGGAATATAACGAGAAACTTAGCAAACCTTTGTCTGATCTTTTCAATATATCACTACAAACTGGCATGGTGCCTGATAAGTGGAAAATGGCAAATGTAATACCTATTTACAAGGCAGGTGACAGGTCCTTATCTTCGAACTATAGACCAATAAGCCTTACCTCCATAGTGGGAATATTTATGGAATTAATAATTGCCGAAACAATTCGTAGCCATCTTGAAAGGGATAAATTGATTAATGAATCTCAACACGGTTTTACAAAGGGGCGTTCCTGCCTTACGAAATTACTAACTTTTTTCACTAAGGTGTTTGAGGAGGTAGATCATGGTAATGAATATGATATTGTGTATATGGATTTCAGTAAGGCGGCTTTCTTTACCAACCTCAACAGAACACATGACCATAACACAAGACACAGATCACTCTTTGATGTTCCTCGTGTACATCGCACGCTATGCAAAAACTCAGTGCACATAAAAGGCCCTAAAATCTGGAATTCATTACCTGTGAATATAAAAGAAACACTACCTGTTTATAAATTCAAGTCTCTTCTCAAAAATCACTTATTCACCCACAACTAAATAAATACTGAATAATTGTATCTCATAAATTGTATCTCATATATGTATCTCATTATTGTATCTCATAAATGTCAAACTGTGACATAATCAAACTTTGTTACTATTTAACTTCATTACCTAACAGAATACTCCATTCTACTGATTACACAGCAACACAGTAAATGACCATATAACCTGTCTTTGTAATACTCATTTGTACTAAATTGTTATCTGTTTTACAATAATTTTTGTACCACTGAATATATCATTGCTTAGTTAATCTTAAGTTAATTTTAAGCCTGCCCGTAATGCTCTGCATTCAAGTGGCTTTGGCATGCTGCATTTAACTGTATTCTTTTGTACTTCACTGTATCATGTTCAAATAAATAAATAATTAAATAAATAAATGAATAAATAAATAAATAAATAAATATTGAGGAAACTTAAGGCACACAGATTAGGAGGAGAAATTTTTTCCTGAGCAGAGGCATGGCTGACAAATAGGCAGCAGAGAGTTTGCATAAATGGGAAGAAATCAGAATGGAGGCACGTCACAAGCGGTGTTCCTTAGGGGTCAGTGTTGGGCCCGTTGTTGTTCACAATTTACGTAAACGACATAGATGAGGGAATAAATAGCGACATAAGCAAATTTGCTGATGACACCAAAATAGGCCGTCCAATTCATTGTAATGAGGACATTAGAGCACTCCAGGATGATTTGAATAGACTGATACAATGGTCGGAGAAGTAGCAGATACAGTTTAATATAGACAAATGCAAAGTTCTAAATGTTGGACAGGAAAATAACCATGCGACATATAAACTAAATGATGTAGATGTTAATACTACTGATTGCAAGAGGGATTTAGGAGTTCTGGTTAGCAGTAATCTAAAATCAAGACAACAGTGCATTAGTGTTCTCAGTAAAGCTAACAGAATCCTTGGTTTCATATCAAGAAGTATAAATAATAGAAATCCTCAGGTTGTTCTTCAACTCTATATATCCTTGGTTAGACCTCATTTAGACTATGCTGCTCAGTTCTGGTCACCGTATTACAGAATGGATATAAATGTTCTGGAAAACGTACAGAGGAGGATGACAAAGCTGATCCTAAGTATCAGAAATCTTCTATATGAGGGTAGACTGAGGGCCCTGAATCTGCACTCTCTAGATAGGCGTAGAATTAGGGGGTGATATGATTGAGGTGTATAAATGGAAAACAGGAATAAATAAAGGGGATATAAATAGTGCGCTGAAAATTTCCAGCCAAGACAGGACTCGCAGCAATGGTTTCAAGTTGGAAAAATTCAGATTCAGGAAGGATATAGAAAAACACTGGTTTCGTAATAGAGTTGTGGATGAGTGGAACAAACTCCCGAGTACTGTCATAGAAGTGAAAACATTGTGTAGTTTTAAAAATAGGTTAGATAAATACAT